CTTGTCACTACCCGCGGGAATCTTAATGCACTTGCACCCATACGGGATCCGATCTGTGATTATCTTCGCCCAATAGTACTCGTTCTTCACTACATCTACATTTATATTTTTGTGAACGTCTTTTGCTTCTTCTCGTAACCATGTGTACACTCTCTGTCGCGCGAGTAAAGATGAATCCAAAACATGCTTTGTTATAACTTTTCCATGTTTCTCACCACGTATACCTAACTCTCGGTCGCGTAGAAACTGCACCGGCGATATTCGCATACCATTTATGTCTCTTTTTCGCTGATTACTGAGAACGGTCAACACATCTTTTACACAGCCTTCCCACATATTTTCCATGTCCTCAAATTCCACTTCCATCGCTTCAAATAACTTGGCCGTATTTATACCATCCATGTCTTCAACGTTCGCACAATGGTAAGCCATATTTTCCACATTCATGTTTTTTTTTTGCTCACAATAATGTTCACAATGTCATTCACAATACTGTTCACAATGTCATTCGCAATGTCATTCACAATAGTTTTTTAATTTGTGCACTGTGGACACTTGTTGCACGGAAATATAGTGTACAATGCTACTCTGCAGTTCGTGCAAGATCGACCATTTAATGCATCAATATAATTGATACTATGCTTCTTTATATAATGCATTCCCACGGTGTCAATGTTAGCTAAAAGCACCATGCATGCTGCACATACGGTTAAAGGACCGCCCGTTGTGTAATAAGACTGAATCATACAGTATTTGGTACGATCGTTCAGTGCACGGATTTCCGCAGCTGGTATAAATTTTTCTTCAATATCCGTTTCGTATTCGCTCGCGTCACTGGTAAAACCGACGTCGTCAGATAATATGGATTCTTCGTCGGATGAATCTTGATCCAATATATTCTCGAAATCTACGTCCATTCCATTAAACACTTCATCAAGCTGTTCCTCATTCATGTTTCTAATATTTTCGAACACTACATCGTTCATGTCCTCACCGTTTCCAATGTTCTCGTCGAACTCTACACCGTCCGTGTCCTCAATATTCCCGATATTTTCAAGATGATCTACCATACTTTTTGCATTGCACTTAACGATTGATTCGGTAATCGTACAGGGTACCAACTGAGGTACCACGCGCTGATGACCCATTATATATTCCATTTGAAACTTCTTTGTCCCTTTGTCTACCCTCTATTGGGTCACAGCATCGGCGATGTGTCACCTATCATTTCTTAGAAAAAAAATCGCTATCGACGCCTCTCTTAACGCATCGTGTCATATTCGCGACATGTGTTACCGATCTCCTAAACAAAATATCTTATTCGCATTATAGTACCGCGACGCATTTCGGGGTTGGTGTGGGATCTGCGGAGGGTGGCGGTGGTGGCAGCGGCGGCGGCGGTGACAACGGTGGTGGCGACCACAAACGCATTTTTTCGGGTGTTTA